ACATGCAAAGAAGGAAAAATATATTTCCAAAGGTTCCAACCTAATTTGGATTTTTCACATATAGAAACCCTAATTTGGGTCATCAATTCCAACAATTTCCCAACTGCATTCACAAAAATGATGTATATCCAGCCATTTGATGAACAAAAATATAGGAATCAAGCTCCAAAGAACGAGTCTCTCTCTCCATGTCCGCCCCCTCAAATGCCCGAGAGAGATCACGGGTTCTGGGGCCTAGGTTCCAACTTGAATGGAGTCTCTTCTCTCTTTAGCTTTACGTTGAGAGAGCAGGATTTCCTTGATCATTCATATCGTACTATTTTCTCTGGTTCGACCAAATAGAGTTGGTTTGATTTATACGTAGAGATAATATTAAGCATGAATTTGAACTCATATTGTGAAAAGGTTTATCGGTTTCGAGATGAGCTTAATAAATGGTAACCAATCTCGTACGTGTATTCTTATATAAAATTATCAAATTCCACGTTACATGCTCCCTGATGATAGAACTTCATTTCTGTAAATATCACTTAACATAAAACTTAGTTTAATATTTATTAGTTAATAACTGCAATTATTGTGGGGGTGTAGCTCATATGGTAGAGCGCTCGCTTCGCATGCGAGAGGCACGGGGTTCGATTCCCCGCACCTCCAATGGTTACATAATTTTTTTTGTATTCTCATCGATCTAATAACAAATCCCATGAGACACTCTCTCTTACACACACGGCCAAATCTAGCACAAGGATTAAATTAGATTTTTAACAGACATTGATAAAAATTGATGAAATGTGTGGTTGAATAGTTGTGGGTCCCATAAAATATGTAGTTAAAATTAATTATGGATTATAATTTTGATAAAAAATTAGATTAAAATCTTTACCAAACAGATGCCTAATTTCCCTTTAATAAAAAATGAATAAAAATGGTGAAATGCTCGTAACTTGTAAGTTCAGATTGAGTTGATTATTCATTTAAAAAAGCATATTTACATAAGAAAAATTAACAGGGGATTGAACATTGACTTGATATCGAGAAAAATAAAATTTCTCAAGATCAAGAATCTCAACCTTTGGTTGGTGTATTCTCGACCTACCATAGAAAATTACATAAATAAGAAAAAAATTATAACATTATTTTCAACTAAGAATTTTGAATCTAAACCACATTAGGAGAACTCGACGACATAGATCGATATTTTCAAGAAATAAAATTATTAGTCTAAGAAATACAATTTTTTTAGAATAAAATGGATTTTTTGCTTGAATCTTTGGCACAAATGATTGATATTCTCTACTCAATATATTTTTAGGAAAGTTTTTCAAGATTGATAGTTTCAAAATTATCCAAAAATTTATTCTGAACAAAGTTCAGTTTGTAGATGTATAGAGATAAAATTAGCAGCTTCATTTAGGAAAAAAAAATTGTAAAACTAAATTAAGCCCCTGTTTATTGCTCATTAGTAGAAGAAAAAGAATCGTTGGAACAGTGGTCCTGCCTATCATTTTTGAGCATTTGTGT